GGCTCCGCCCCTGGTTGCGACGGGAGCTCACGGTGCTATATGGTACACACAGCACGCTGGTAGACATCGTCCAGCGCATCATCATGGCGCGGGTGGCTCGCCATGGCCTGGAGGACACGCCCACCATAGAAGAAGAGCTGCGGCAGTTCCTGCTGGCGCGCACTGACCACTTCCTGCACGAGCTGGTCAGCTTCGCACGCTCGCCGCTCAGCCTGGAGAGCTACGACCTGCAGGCGGTGTACGAGCCGCCGGACGCCGCCATGGAGCTGGACGGGACGAGCAGCTCCTCCGACGGCAGCTCCGTCATTGCCATCTCGGAGGGCGAGGAAGAGGCGGGGCCTGCTGGGGGAAGGTCAGACGAGGCGCCGGCGGGCAGTGCCTATGACAACGACGACGTGGTCCAATCAGGAGGCCCCCTCAGCCTTTCAGTCTGGGATGATGAGACTCCAGGCCCCTCCTACTCCAGCGCCGAGCCGTCCTGCTCGCTAGCCGGCCCGTTGTTTGGCCACGCCCCCCAAGAGGCCACCAATGAGGGGCGAGGAGGGGCGGCGGAGGAGGAGGAGGAGGAGGAGGAGTGTCTGATCGTAGGGTTCAAGAAGCCGATAGCGGAGCGGACTCCTGAGCTGGTGCAGCTCTCCTCCGACACCGAGGAAGAGAAGAAGAAGGAGGAGGAGACGGAGGAACTCCCTCCCCTCCCCCCCTCCACCCTCTGTTACCTACCCACAATCCCTCCCTCCACGTCGGGCTGCTATGGCGGTGAGCGGGAGGAGGATCCGAAAGAGAGGGAGGGCGAGCCTCGTGTTCGTTCCTTGTCTGGCAGCTCCGGAGGAAGCGACAGTTCGGTGCTCGCCGTGGGTCCGGCGCCGCCCGGGGATGAGAGGCAAGGCGGGGAGGAGGCAAAAGACAAGAGGAGGAAGAGGAGGAGGATCGGGCGCGAGAGGAGCGGCACCTTGCACAATCCCAACCGCTCCCTCTATCCCGCAATGATGCGTCACTACTCCTCCTCGCCGTTCCACTCCAGCGGGTTGGGCTCTGGCTCGCCGCCGAGCCCCCCCAGCTCCACCTGGGAGTACCACTTTTCCCAGGTGTCTCCTCTCTCCTCTTCTGTCTCGTCGCACTCCCGTTGCTCTTCCTCCTCCTCCTCGCCCTTTGGGTCCTCCCCCCCACCGGCGCCCTCGCTGTCGCCCAGTGACCGCGGTGAGAAACCCAGCGGGAAGAGGAAGTACAAGAGCCGTCACCTGGACGACAAAGACCCCACCTGGAGGCCGAGCAGCAAGGAGAAGAGGGGGGGGGGGAGGAGTCGAGAGAGGCAGAGGAGGAGCGTCGGCGAGAGGTGAGGACTCCTCATTGCTTCCTTGTTTAGCTCCTCTAGCGTGATGCTAACCGCCGCGTCTCCTTGTACGTCCTCGTCCTGTAGGAGAAGCCGAGAGGACCGAAGCCCCAGCGTGGAAATCGTCTACGAGGGCACCGCCCCCCCACCTGCCCGCAAACGCCGCAGGAAGCGTCAGCGCAGGACGCAGCCCAGCAGGTACGTCTCCCCGCGGACTGATGTCCTCAGGTGTGTCCGTGTCCCCCTCCGCTCACCCGTCTGTGTCCCCCTCAGCTTGCCGGTCATCATCACCCTGGACAGCGACAGCAGCCTCGGCGACGACAGCAGCCTGATCAGCAGCCAGCGGACCGTCGACTTCTCAGACCTCCCCCCGCTGCCGGGGCCCCTCCCCCCTGCCGACGTCCTGGACCGGGGGTCGGAGGTCGAGCCAGGGGGCCCCGTCGCAGTCGACAACATCAGTGACGTGGACGTGGAGGGGAGCGGCTCGCTGCTGGGATCGGACGATGATGTTGAACGACCAATCGGAAAGAGGGACACATCCTCCGCCGATGTCTCTAGCAAGAGAGACTCTGAGGTGTTGTCCTCTGACAGCTGTCTCCTAGCAACCATCCTCAACGACCTGGAGGGAATGGCTGTGCCGCCAGTGATCTTTGACCCTGGCCAGCTGGCCAATGCCGGAGCAAAGTGCGCGAGGGACGCCCCCCCTCTGGAGCGTCTCCCGAACGAGGCAGAGGACATCACTCTCCTGGAGCGTCCCCAGGAGGACGTCCCTCCTAAGGAACGTCCTCAGGACAAGGGCAGAGGACATCACTCCTTCTGGAGCGTTCCCATGATGAGGGAGAGGACATCAGTCTCTTGGAGCGTCGCGGCGGGGCGTCCCTTCTATAGAACGTCCCCTGGACAAGCAGAGGACATCACTCCTCTGGAGCGTTCCCATGATGAAGGGAGAAGACATCAGCCTCTTGGCAGCGTCCGCGGGAGGGCGTCCCTCCTAAGGAACGTCCCCAGGACAAGGCAGAGGACATCACTCCTCTGGAGCGTTCCAATGATGAGGGAGAGGACATCAGTCTCTTGGAGCGTCCCCGGCAGGACGTCCCTCCTCTACTCACACAGGCCAGTCCTGTCCGTTCGTACATGAGGAACACACCACCGCCGCTCAAGCACAAAGACGAGGGGAATACTCGCCTGTCTCCCGTTGACCAGCACTCACTACAGGCCTCTCTGGACCCGCTGAGTGTGAACTCTCACATTGACCTCCACAGAAATCCATGCATCCCCCCCACTGAGTCTCGCCCTGAATGTTGTCATTTAGCACCCGTTGACTCCCGTTCAACTGCTCTTCCTGAAGTCTGCAACGACGCCGCGAGTCATAAACCTGCCGTTGACGCCCATTCTTCATGCGGTTTAGAAAACCGAGCTGAAAGTGCTTGCTTTTTACATCAGGAGTCAAATTCTTCAAAGTTACATTCCCCCATGAAAACGTCTTCACCTGTTTGCTTGCATCCTGTGAATTCCTTACCTGCCATTGATTTCCACCGTGGCAGGGGAGCAGCCGGCTCACTCTCCTCCAGAAGTGCAGGGATCAGGCCGACATTTCCTGTCAGGTAGCACCCGTGACCAGCGCTCTCCCAGGGGTGTTTCTGGAGGGGGGGGGCTCTCGGGAGTCAACTCTTGTGACTCATCGCCACGTTTTGCCTCATTGATCGACTTCAGGAACCAGAATCCTCCCCCACCCATCGACTCCCACACTTTCGGAAAGAGAGACGGGCTTTCGCGCTTTTTAGGTTGTCCAGTGCCGACAACAGCGCTCAGGCTTCCACCCCTTGACGTGCATCCTCGTCCCAAATCTTCCGTTGACCTCCACCCTTCCAGCGCAGCTCCGGACCGACCGACGGAGAACAATAACTCGTCCTTAGTCGACCACGTGGAAACATCCCCTCGTGCCCGCCTGCCACCCATTGACTTGCATTGTACCGTGCCTGCAAGCTTGAACTCTGCCGGCGCCTTGAACCACACGGCCTTACCCACCGCCCCCATTGACCCTCATTCAAAACTACGCCACTCCCATCGAGCTGAAAACACCGCTGACGTCCACTCAAATCTCCATTTAGGACACACACGGACACACACACCGAACAAAGAGAATGAAATGTTTTAAAGGACCTCAGAACTTCTGATGTCTAATACTCATTTTTTTAAGGATTTTTAATCCTTTTTGTGATTTTGTACCTTAAGTAAGTTTATTCTCAAATGTGACTGCAGAGAAATGTGGACAATTCAATTCTGTTATATTATTAGTTTTAAATATAACATTATTTGAATTGAGTTTTGTGTAGTTTAAGGAATTAAACCATGCAACGCTACTCTTATGCCTCGTCGTCATGATGGATATTGTTGGTGATTGGTCCAATGGAAAAGCCCGCCCACTTCAGAGGAACACAAGCCCCGCCCCCTGGCAATGAAATGCAGTCTGAAATAGTACGTCAGGTAAAAGGCATTTGGATAAAATGTTATCAAATAGAAATATTTGGGGGTGAGGATGTTTCTTTGTTTTCTATAAGAGTGATTTGTGTTTATTACCAGGAACACACACCACGCTTTAGTGAAGCCATATTAACAAATAAACCTGATCAGTGACTCAACTGTGAGCTGCAGGTCTGTTCCTCACCACCAGGTGGAGCTCCTACCTCATCACTACTTCCTGCTGCTTCTTCCTCCTCCTCATCGCTACTTCCTGCTTCTTCCTCCTCCTCATCGCTACTTCCTGCTTCTTCCTCCTCCTCATCGCTACTTCCTGCTGCTTCTTCCTGCTTCTCATCGCTGCTTATTCCTCCTCCTCATCGCTGCTTCCTGCTTCTCATCGCTGCTTCTTCCTGCTTCTCATCGCTGCTTCTTCCTCCTCCTCATCGCTACTTCCTGCTTCTTCCTTCTCCTCATCGCTGCTTCCTGCTTCTTCCTCATCACTTCAACCAGTGGCCCATAAGAACCAAAGTATCAGTACTGAGTTAGCTTTAATGCTAATATTAGCCCTTGTGGTACTGGTTAACTTTTGTTAGCTCCTGGTCTAGTTACTGGGTTAGCCTTTAAGCTAATGTTAAGTGGTTACTTTTGAGCTAATGCAAAAAGGTTAGCCTTCATGCATCCTTCAATAGGTTAGCAACTTTACCTGGTTAGCCTTGGAGCTACTACATAGAAAGTTTTCACCCTGAAATAATGTATTATTGTAAACTGATACTCAGAATTTTGTTCACATGTCGGCAGATTTCATTAGAAGTTTCACGAATTCACCATTTTATCAAATCAAATCAGTGTTTTCAGAACCCCAAATCATAATTAGCAGTTAAACAATGGCGCCATGAGGACTGTTATCTTTTTGTTGATTTAATGAACCTGCTTTATTTGCTGATTTATGACGCATATGTCGATCAATGCCCCCCCCCCCCCTGCTGGTCGCTGCAGCTCCTCCAGGGCACGCCCACATTCTAGAGCATTGGTGCTGGGCCATTGTTAGTGCTGTTGCCGGGCAACATGGCGCACGTCGTCAGGGACAACCAGTCGTCTTTCTGCCTCCCTGATAGGAACACCATCACTGAGATGACACGCACACACAACTTCACACACACACACACACACACACGCGCAGCTTCCATCTTGTGGCAAACACGCAAACATATTGTTCATCTTCATGGCTGCTATCTCCGTCACGCACACGCACACGCACACACACACACACACGCGCACAGCCTTTTGATGCAATCACCTGATATCCATAGTGTGTGTGTGCATCCATCACTGTCTTTGAAATGCTTTTATTACAATTTGATACACAAGGACGAATACAACGAAAACAAGCGCCCCTTCCTTGCTTCCTTGTTGAAGAGAAACCGATGAAGAAGAATGGTTCATCTTCTGGGGTGCATGAAGGTCTGAACCGGTGGTCCATGGAGGGTTTAAGAATCAATGGGTTCAAACCAGTAGAATCAAATTTGTAGTACTTGAATACGAAGTAGTACACGTAGTGTACAGTTTAGTATACACATGTACATTGTAGTGTACGTAGTATACGTGGAGTAAGGCGTACTGTACTTGTAGTACTACGCAGCGTAGTATAAGTAGAGAACCACAAAGCGATCTTTAACATCTTCATCATGATATTTCTCATGGTTTCAAAAAGGTTCCACAGCAGAAGAACTGGACCCGACGCGTTGATAGTTCGGGACGTTCTGATGTTCCCGTGCTGCTCTCGGCCCACACGTCCTCCCAGAAGATGCCCAGCGGCTCAACCTGCCCAGGTCAAAGGCCAGAGGAGCTGGTTCTGAAGTCTCTGCGGTCCAGGTGAAGGCCTCACTGACGCAGTCTGGGACTGGATGTGTCAATGAACAGGTCAGATTCAAAGGGAAACTTCACCTGAAATGATTTTAATCACAATTCTTCCTTCTGCTTTTTACGTAAATACAAAAATACCACAAAGTTGTCTTTCCAGTCTGCTTTAGTCCGTATAAAACTGCGCCCTGAGAACTTTCTGTTGAAATCCAGAGGAATATTAAAACCGTTTAGAGACCGAGCAGTGCATTAATAACTAAAGAAACCGGGTTCCGTGAGGAGGGGTCGGGTGGGGGGGGGCAGCTCTGGACCTTCTAGAGAGTTAAGAAGCAGATCACAAACACATCCACCAAGGTGTCCGTCAGGACAGGAGGAGGTAGACAGAAGAGACGCTAACAGTGATGTGGTAGTTGGAGTCCTAACTGTGGGAAAGTCACTTCCTGCCGAGGCTCCTGGGTCGTACCCGCGCTCAACTCTTCCCTGTGAGGTCAACTTGTCGTCCGGTTTTGGTCAAACTGTAAAAGGTTCTGTGATAAAATAGCAGACGGTCCACTCAAGGCCTGACTCCCCCAGGTGAGGCTACGACGGGGTTAGGAGGCTAGGAGGCTAGGAGGCAGGAGAGGGAGGAGGAGGCGGGTCTGCTGCTCGGGTCTCCTGGACTTGGCCAAAGTGATGAGATCATTTTGAGAGTTTGATCCGTCGAGGAGATTCATCAGGTACCAACAAGTCTCCGCCCAGAAGGTACCGGGCCTCCTCAACATCTCACCTCTGCTACGGCCGGGGTGACCAATGGGAGAGGAGCGTTGTCCAATAACAGAGATGATGTCATTCTGAAGTCGGCAACACTGGTTACCGCCAAAAAACGCCAACCATTTGACAGAATATGTCGATTGGTCAATTCATGTTGCTCGTGACCAAACTCCCAGACCCCCCCCCAAACCTCCCATCCCACCCTCCAGCCTCTGGGCTCCAAACTGGTTCCCAGTCCAGACAGGATTTCTCGTATGGAATTGTAATCCTGTCGCAAGTTGTAGTCCTTCATTCTTCAACCAGTGAGCTGGATTTGTAGTCCGTGTGCGGCGGTGACTTCCTGTTCCACAGATAGCGGAGCGAAGGCTAGAAGAACCAACGGAACGCCTCGCCATCCGTCCCGACCGGCGGGCGCTAACATAAGAGACAGAAAGAAAAGACGTGAGACACAGAATGAGAATATGTCAACAGTCCTCCAGAAAGTCCGGACCATCTGGGGGGGTTTGGATCCAGAACTGGTCTCAGTCTCTAGTTTCAAGTCTTCTTCAATACAGCACGACGTTCATGTACTTCATTTAGTACATTATGGTCCATTTAAAGCAGTGGTTCTGTGGTCTGGCTCCGGGACCCCCCATCACCCCTAATGACGAACCGCGACCCAAATCCAGGAACATTCTCAACTTCTCAAATTTATTTAATGAAAACATGGTGCAGTTTGAACCTGAGACAGAATACGTACGACAACACAAAACAAGTTTAATGAAAAAGCAAAAGAGCCATCTGTTAATTCCCCTTCTCATTCTCCCAGGCAGAGGCCTTTAAAACGGGTCCCGCCAGTCGAGAACCACTGATTTAAAGGGAAACGGACCATAAAGCAGGGGATGATTTAGGGCGGGGCTACACGCTGATTGACAGGTCTCTATGTCCTTCTCACTCCTTGT